CGGATAAACAGCGATCCAAAGATGATGTGACATTGGGAAAGTATAATGGCTGCCAGGAGGATAATCTGATTGACTTGTTGTGAGAAATAGTAGGCAGGTACAAAGAAAATCCAGCAAGCTAGAATCAGTGCACTGGCCAGAAAGTAGAATGGTGCTTCGTTGAAGAAACCGGGCAATTGACGAGTCAGGGTTGCCAGTGATAGCGTCACCATGATCAGGGTTGAAGTGCATGCAAAGTAACCACCCATCCAAGCATCATTAAACTTGCATCGTAGCCATTGTACTTTGTGTGCATCGGAGTAGATGTCAGTGATTTCCACGTGTGGTGCTGACACCATCACCCAGGCGATGAAGTAGGCTAAAATGACAGTGGCCAACAGAACCAATAGCAACACCTGACTGCTGTTGCCAAGGAACTTGACTCTTCTCTTGGACATACGCGCAGTCTGGAAGACCATACGCAGGCGATTTGTCTTGACAGCCAGGCTGACTATGTTGACAACTGGCCATACTAAGACGAATAGCACCTTGAGTGTGCAAGCAGTATTGCTCGGCTTCAGAAAGAGAATGTTGACGCTGGCAAAGCTGATGGCAAGGGTCACCAGTTGTGCGGCGCTGAGGGTAAAGTCAGCAGACTTCACTACCAAGTGATCTCGCTTGCGATAGAAGAGCACAAGTGTGGCAATGGTCGCAAGAACACCACTGAGGCTGAGTAGGATGATGGTAATGGAACTGGTCTGATACATTTGTAGCGGATACTGTGGTGGGTCAGGATGTGGCCTGCAGTCAAAGCAACATTGGCGGTAGCCATCATGATGTTGTCGTTGATAGCCTGCTGGACAGTGCCCTGGGCCGCATGTTGAGCTGATGTTACTGAGTTTAGCGACAACATGCGGAGCACTACCATCACGGCCGCTGTCCTTGAACCCTGGCTTCCAGTCCAGGGTCTCCATTCTCCATGATGAGATATCGCCATTCTCATTGATTTTACTGCTACGTGCAAGGACTTTGACTTGCATGCAACTTGATGGATCGGACAGCTGCTCATTATACATCTGTGATAGCTTTTCTCGTATTTGTTCTGCAGTGAGAAATGTACTCTCCAGTGTGTACCTTGCGTAATAACTATTGGTGTCGTTGTAGAATCCCCAGAATGCTTTACAGATATGCGGCTGAGTCTTATATTCCTCCGCAGTGCACCTGTCATGGGCTTCCTGTAGGAGTTGGTTTGTGACATTGACCACTGTGAAGATAGTACCCATGATCTGTAGAGAACGCTGAACGAGGAATTTCATTGCTTGAGGAGAGTGTGTGGTGTCGCATGGGCGCCTTGAACTTGCATTTGAGTTCATTGTTGGACTCAGTCCTTTCATGTTGCGCCCAAATTGACATTTTTCAGGTGATAAGCAGGTCAAGCGACAATCGAACATGTTCTCCCAGACTGCTGCAAGCCATGGGTCTTGCCTTAGCTGCGACAGTGACATGTTCAAAATGTTCAGGTTCTCCCATAGAGTTGCTTCGATGCCATTCCAGGATGGATATCCTGAAGGAAGTGGAGCCAGCAGCCTTGGCTCCACTTTCACTGCCACTGGAACCCCACTGCCACTTCCCAACCAGTCATAGTCTGGAGCAATGTTCTCTGCCACATACTTCCAATCTTGGAACCCGACCCATTGCCAAGCTTGAATATTGTGCAAGTAACTGTTGACATGTTCTGTTTCATTCGCAACCAAATCTGTAGTTAGTAAGACGTTCCAAATGTGGACAGTAGCATCTTCATCTGCCAGAACGACGACAGTGGTAAGTGAGGTCATGCGCTTGAGTTGCTGAAAGAAATGTACGAAATCTACGATTAGGTTACTGATGTTTTTTTGCTGGTGATCGATGTATCCAACTTTGGCTATACAAATGTTGTAATATTCAGCACTGGTATCGAGGATCGATTTCAGTTTCTGATTGTGCTCATCTTTAGACACAAGCACAGCTATGTGAGTCCAGTTCTGCTTGCTACATAAATCCAACAGAGTTCTGACCTGCAGGTCGTAGGTTGGTGTGACGGTAAACGAATAGTTGCTCTGTGGCTCATCTGAGTGATAGCGTGGTGTTGGGGTGATGTGAAGAGTAGTCTGCGGCTCTTTCAGGATGAGAGAAGAGATGGTTGCTGGCATCACGGCGTGCGTTATTGGACCAATCACTACTGCTGGTGTGAGTGGCCGCAACCAGAGTTTCCGCTTAACTACACGCTCCTTAGCACACTTGGGTTTTTGCTTGCAGGTATTATTTTGTTGAATGGGCACAGTTGGATATGTACTGGTGTCACCACTGCCACTATTGTCTGCAAGGCTGACTTCTCCACTTTCACGCTCCGATGGACCTTGCAGAGGGTAGTAAAATGGCCTGTGGTCCCATTGTCCTGGCTGTTCCCTTCCAGAGTCATGGGGATTTCCCGTGTCTAGTGTTTTTTTGATAGGTGTGCAGCTTGCCAAACCGTCCGGTTCATTAAATGCTCCAGGCTCAGCTCTCTCAGACTCTCTGCAGCTACAGTTTTTCTCGGATTCATAGTAGCGGCTTGTATGCTTGTCAGGAACATACCATTGCTCAACCAGATAGTGCAGCACCACCGACGCCCAAGCACATGTGTCAATCAGTCTGTACTCAAATGACTTGTTGAGGGTAGGAAGGCAGTTGACCATCTCGAACGCCAGAGCCACTGCCTCAGCCATTGGTACAGCCTCGTGTACATCCACATCATCACATTTATTCCTTGATGATGGTGACACATGCTTGTGCATTGGCAAAAAGACGGTTAGTTGCAGATCAGCTTGCTTGGAGTTCACTGTCAGCACATCTCCAAGTAGAACATTAGGATCTTTGGCTGGTGTGAATTTTCCTTCTGCTTGTTTCGTACTTAAAACCATCATCAGAACGCTGAGAAGGAGAGTGTATTTCCACATCTGGCCTGTACAGATATGCGTCTGGTTGGAAATTGCGGGGATTAATGAGTGGCACACATGTGTTCCTAGCCTGCCGTTGTGCCTGGTGCACATTTTGAGATCATTCAAGTTAGACACTACTCACTCAGCCCATGCATGGCATGACACACACTGAGAAGTGAGGCTGACCAGTTGAGGGACACGCTTACCCGCCGCTCAACTCTCTGCTTTGGGCAAACTACTCTACAGACACACTTGCCTCTGAGCGTCTTCTTTTTGTAGACCTGCTACAATAAGTGGCCCTTTTTGTGGCTTTGCGAACCCCAGCACTGAACAACATGTTGCTTGCATAGCCACTAGCTCAGACTACCTAGCCGTTCTAATGACCCAGCACACAGGCTGTGATTCTGAGTGGAGTAGGTTAATTTATCCTTGTTCCTACTTTGATAGTGGTTCTTTGGTCAATGCTTGTTTGGTGACATCTTGAGTGGTTTGTGTTGCGATTGCCTAACCTTAATTGCTCTTATTTAGCACTACATGTGTGTGTGTGTGTGTGTGTGTGTGTGTGTGTGTGTGTGTGTGTGTGTGTGTGTGTGTGTGTGTGTGTGCGTGTTAGCTTTGTGGCCGCTGTGTGCTATGGAAGTCAAGGATATGCGGTTTTAGACTTGTAAGTTGTATCCTGCTGTATACGTGTTCCTCAGTACTGGGTCATTGTCCTCCTAAGTTAGTTGCCAGAAGGTTCAGTGTGATCACCTTTCTAGTGTGTGATCCAGTAATTCATTGACATGCATGTACGTACTGTGCATCTTACATAGCAGCTTTGCAGTACTGTCCCAGGACCAGGATGGCCAGCATGTTTTGTGGTCGAATTTTAAAATGTCCAACTGTGTTGCCCCCCCCCCCACACACACACACACGCCCACGCACACTCTTTCTCTATATCCATTTACGCTCATATAGTGCTGATAATGATATGTGGGTGCGCAGCATTGTGATGGAGTGTACAATGTAGGTATGATTGCGCAGCATTGTGATGGAGTGTACAATGTAGGTGCATCGCATACTAGTTGATGGGAATCGACCATTGGCAGCTGTGTTCTTTTGTTACGGTTCCTAGCATCCAAGGGAATAGCAAGGCATTGGGGTAACAGTTCCTTAAAACGGGCGGAGTTATCCACACAGCGAGCTAGAGGGTGTAAATCATTCCACAGCTTAGCACATTGGAAGGAAGCGCCATCACGGGCAATGTGCATGATTTTAGAAGAATGGAGAGCCGGTGATCAGAACTGACAGTGATCAGAACTGACAGAAAGTCTGGTGTTGTAATGAGCCTATGTTCAGGAAGTATGTGTTGCAAGTGGGGTACCTATGTTGACAAGGCCAATTCTTGCACTGAGCACATGGTCAGGAAGTACGTGTTTTCACTAAAATTCCTGTGTGCTGTCAAACACACCTGCTTTCGCCTGTTTTTTGTTTTGTTTTTGTTTTTGTTTTTGTTGCTGCTGTTTCTAAGCTCTTTGTATAGGGATCATTTTGATCAAGTTCAGCTCTGTGAGTCCCATGAGCAGCATCCTGCAGTGCAAGTTCCGCACATGAACAAATTGTGTGTTGTGTGGTACTGGCATGGACATCTTGACATTTGCGGACACACGGTTGATTGGTCCTATGTGGAGCTCACATGTCCTGTCATGCACTTGGCACTTGCCTGACTCATGACTGCCGAAGTAGTTGCTGTTTCTAAGCCTGTACCGACCTCTGTAACAAAAGTCACTTGAGGGGTTGGGGGGAGGGGGGGGGGGGGGAGGGGGAGGAGGTTGTAAAGTAAGAGAAAAAGAGACTGACACCTGCCGCGCAAGCAGAGTAAGGCATTTGCACCGGCACCTCAGTTTGTTGTGTCGTGTTCATAAAGGAATGTGCTCATTCAATGTAGCTTCTTGCTTCCTTCCTTCGTCAGCAAATGAATGGCACCAATATTCTATTATCCGTAACGGCAATGTTACGGCATCTGATAGTATTACTGGACGAGTTGGTAACTGCACATTTTCTTGTCTGCGTTTTTTTCTACAGATTGAGCTCGATCACTATTGTCACTGCCTGCCAGTACCACCATTGCACGTCGCTTACCGTTGATGTAGTGTTGACTGTGGTCCAAGGTACCCGTCGCGGGCGTGTGCTGTGGTTGAGTCTGGTTTGCGGTGCAGTTTTTCTTTTCTTTTAAAAACTACTACTTGTGCTGCTTTAGGAACTGCATCTTTGCCGTAGTCACTTAGTTAGGGTGGTGGTATCCCTGAGGATGCAGAAAATTCAGTCTGGCTGATTTCATACGAACCGTGACATTTTCACAGGACATCCTCAGGCTGATATGGCTTCAGACATACCGTACGGTAATAGCAATGTGCAGCATTGTGGTGGCTATAGACTAGTATAGAACGAACATCAATCCACCACTGGCAGCTGTGTTTTTTTGTCACCGTTCCTTACGTGGATGTGAAAGAACTAATACTTAGGTGCCGACACTAACATACACACACTCACACGCACAAACACACACACACACCATTCACCATTTGACGCCCATCGCCGGAGGCGGTGATAGCGATACCACAGCAGAAGCCATAGCAGCTTGTGCTGGGACACACACACACACACACACACACACACACACACACACACACACACACACACACACACACACACACACACACAGATCCGATCTTTGCCAGCATGTCATCACAATCTTGTGTCCACAGAGTTTTTTTTATTCAGTTTTTTTATTCAGAACGACAGAAGAACAGCCGGACGGCGGTCACCCATCTTGTATATTGTGGGCGCAGGAATGTGGAACTTGAATGGTGGTGATAGCGCTAAAGAAAATGTTGGCTTTTCGCACTTCACAGAGGCAAAAGCTGTGCCCTTTCGTGAGAGCATCAGATCATGATCAGACCCTGATCAGACCCTGATCAGACCATGATCAGACCATGATCAGACCATGATCAGACCATGATCAGACCATGATCAGACCAGGATCAGACCATGATCAGACCATGATCCAGACCTGTTTCATTGTGGGTGTGTTTCACGGTGATGTTTAGCAGCTACTGTCCATGAGCATATGCCATCATGGCATGGTCAGAGAGGTCAGCTCTGTGAGACTCATGAACAGCATACAATGTTCCAGCAGTAGATCTGCTACTGTGAGCACCGCACGCAAGTATACACGTACACTGGTAATCTCTTACAGTCCTATCTCTTACAGTCTAACCTCTTTCATCTGGCATGCATTAACCAGGCATGCTTTGATTCCAGCAAGGGTTGTCAAGATTATGAGTGTTGACAGTATTCTGTCATGCTAGGTTACTACTAGCATTCGTAATCTGTCTCCAGCAGGCGTGTCCAAAACGAGCGGTTGAATTCGCCCAGCTTGTTTATCTGGCGCTGACGCATAGGCATGTGCACAGTACAGTCATATCAACAGCCAGTGCGAACCAGGGAGTAGTAAAATACCGGTATTTTACCACTCCTGGTGTGACTCAAGAGCACATAGTGGATATTAAAAAATAGTCCGCCTGGCACATTTAGGTGGGCCCGAGGTACTACAATCAAAACACTGTGATGAGGAACGTAATCTTCTGGTTGTGATAACCTCAACTGGCATAATAGACAGGCTGTAAAAATGCCAATTTTCAAACCTTAGCTTCAAGAGCCTTGAATTAACATCATAGTAATGCCTCTGACTACAAGAATCATCTACGACATCAATGTGCGGTCAATTATGGGTTGGAGTGCATGGAATCATATCATCTTGCCACTTTGATGGCCAACGATGCTACATCAACAATTCAAATGAAATATTGAAGTTGCAGTGTGCCATGTGAGTGTAATGATTAATGTCAGTAGACGTTTTAAGATGATGGTCCGGACGTCTACATTACGGCAATAGAGAGAGAGAGAGAGAGAGAGAGAGGGAGAGAGAGAGAGAGAGAGAGAGAGAGAGAGCACGGGCATGCGAGGGAGAGAGAGGGTGGGGGGGGGGGTAAGTATGTACAGGTCAGGCAAAAGTGACCGCTCCACTAATGTAATACTAGTGTGGCGTGCATGGGGAAAATCTTTGCCATAGATGGAGCCAGCCAGTGATCCTGTGGAGCACGCAGTATTCCGTCATGCTGCACAGAGAAATTCACTTCTACCGTGCGATACAGTGATGTGCGATAGAGTGATATCGCATTCCTCAGCACCTGGATATGCTTGCCTTACCATCTGACTACACCACTTTCACACGGGTAGCTGTTGAGCTCAATAGTAGATGCAGACATGAATTCAGTCAATATGGAGAAGAAGAGGACGACCGCATATAACCATGCAGCAGGCGGGCTCCAGACTCAGTTCTTCCAAGCTCTCCGGAAGAGAGGCCACGGTAGGCCACGGTTGCAGCGGGTCATGGGATAAAGTTCAAGATCAAAGCGTTTGGCCCTGATTTGGCACTAACCTCGCTACTCACACGATCTGCTTGATAATGAGCTGCTCACACGGGCGATGTGGGCGTTCTCAGGTCGTGGGTGGGTGACATCACACACTGGCGATGCCGTGTACGTGTTCTCGGGTCGTGGGTGGGTGACATATGCGTCTTCACGGCCGATGTTGTTCTGGCTGGCCTGGCTGTCCTGACTAGTTGCTGAGCCTAGGGAGCTGCTACTCAAGAAGAAACTACCCTGGTCGTCCATCCGCAGCCACAGGTAGTAGAGTCGACGTATGAACAGCGAACAGAATATGCAATAGCCCTGCACTAGAATGATGACCGCCAGAACGATGGAGGGACTGGCTTCTTGCGAGAAATAGTAGGCAGGTATCAGGACTATCCAGCAAGCTAGAATCAGTGCTGTGGCTAGACAAAGAAGCGCGGCTTCGTTGAAGAAGCTGGGCAGCTTTCGAGTGGAGAACGCCAGCGCAGAGGTCAGAGCTATGAGTGAAAATGTGCAGGCAAAGTACCCGGCCATCCAGCTGCCGTTGAAGTGGCATACAAGACGGCGGGTTCTCTCTGTGTAAATGATCTCTGCGAACGGTGGTTGCACCAGGCCCCACACCAGCAAATAGCATGCTAGCATGCTGGCGACCAGGACTATCAGAAACAGTTGAACCTTGTTGCTCAGGTAGCGGACGCTCCTCTGTGACATGCGGCTGGTGTGGCGAAAGACCACGCGCAGACGGTTGGTTTTCACGGCCAGGCTGCTGACGTAGATAACCGGCCAGATGAGTGCCAACGCCATCTGGAGCACGCACACGCTGTCGCTCGGCTTCATCGCCAGGACATTGACGCAAATGAAACTCAGCAGCAGCGTCAGAAACAGGGACCTGCTGAGCACCACGTCCGCACTCTTGACGATACGATTCTTCCTGTGGAGATGAAACACGACAGCTGTGAGTATGACTGAGGCTATGCCGAGCAAACTCAGCGTCAAGATCAAGGCCGGACCAGCATCAGGCAGTGCACTGTACAGAAGAGGATACTGAATGCATACGCTTTGATTCCTGCTAGCCAATGTTCCTGCTGGGCAATGCTGACAGGATTTGTCAACGTGCACACTGCGCACAGATCCTGGCGGACATGGCTCGCAGAAGAAGCAACACGTCCTCAGCTGCGCGGGAAATACGAATGCAGTGCCGCTTGGGCAGTCGGCGTTGCAGGTAGAGTTTCTCGGCGCACCGCCACCGTGCATGTCCATGTGTACCCTGAAGTCAATTTCAGTTTGGTTTCCATGGTTTTCAGTGTAGCGTTGGACTGTGCCGATGCGCACCATCTTCCAGCCGCTGCCCTGGCTAGTTGTGCCATGCATCACGGCTTGCTCAATGTTCAGGGCTCCTGTAACACCGTGCCTCCTCCTGCTGCTGCTGCTGGCGACAACGTCATCGTCGTCATTTTCTGCCATTCCCTCCTGCATAGCCGGTGATGGCTCCGTGTTGTGTGTGCTGTCACGGTAGGTATGCGCCATTCTCCTCAGCACTCTGTGGTAGTTGCTAGGTATCAGGACAGACTTGACTAGAAACCAAAGAACTCTCTGTTTCTTTTTCTTGCCAGTGAGCAGGAGTCTGTTCCATTCCTGGCATAAACGTCTGTAACCATTGGCATGGGATGTCTTGCTGCAATGACTGATCATATCTTCAAGAATCAAATCCGTGGCATGTGCGACCATGAATATCGTGTTCATCACATTCAGAGAACGATCTAGGTGAAACGCAGACGCCGCCGCAGAGGTCAGCGTAGAGTCGGTGCAGTTGTCCCACTGTATCACGTCACGCTTGCCGTAGCGCACGTGAGGAAAGCGACAATCGTATTCGCTCTGCGTTGCGCAGTACTCGCTGCTTTCGTTCCCCGCTTTGTAGAGAATCTGGCAAGTCAGGTGGCATTGCTCAACTTCCTCCCAGACTGGTGCTAACCATGGGTTCCTTTTGAGAACTTCAGCACTGGGTCTGAGCAGTTTAAGTCTCCGTTCAAGGCGTTGCCTTACCTCGTCCCAGGAGCCGATAGAAGGTGGAAGCGGGGCCCACAAGCGAGTGGCCACGCGTAGGGCTGTCACCGATGTGGTCGCATTGCCGTACGTCGTAGTAGATGTGTTCCCATGAGGACGGTGTAGGGATGTTTGCGCAACATATGCCCAGTCTTGAAACCCTATCCAGTGCCAGCCATTCAGATGGATAGTGGCATTACTCTCCTTTTCTGCTTCAGATAGTATTCTCCAGATCTCAATCGACGTGACTTCGTCCGCCAGCACAAGAAGAGTTGTTATCGCCGGCCAGTTCTTCAGCTGGCGGAAGAACCTCAAGATCTCTCGGTCTTGGCCAGCGCCAGTGCTGGTAGCTGTGCCGAGTGTGGTGTGGTGCTCACTCACCATGCATATACCCATTGCCTTAGCACTGACTTTCAGCATGGACAGCAGGCGTAGATGCTGGCTACTGTCAGACACTATGACACTGATGTGTGTCCACTGCTGCTCTCTGCAAACCGCCAGCAACGCCTCCACCATGAACCCATAGTTGTTGCTGGCCGAGAAGAACACGTCGTTGTCGTCGTCGTCTTCAGCACCATCGTCCTCATCTGCACTGGCCGCGACGACTCGCTGTGGACGCTCCACTTCGGGAAACATCTGTATGTGCAACTGCCGCAGTTTTGCGACCCGCAGCAGTTCTACCACGGGTGCGAGGATGCGGCCCGATGGACCGAGCAGCAGGTTTGCAAAGTTTTCTGCTCCGCCAAGATTTGCATCGGATTGATGGGAACCACAACGGTCTCCAGCCGCTTGAGGCGAGCCGTAAAACCCCGTTGATAGGCTGTCACTCGAGCCTGAGCCAGAGAGTTCTGGTGAACCCATATCCGACTCCACACCACCTTCAGTTCTCATAGTGCAGCTGGTTTTACTGGGCAGACTTACATCAGAATTCTCTGGGACTGCATCTTTCTCCGAATGGCAATTTTTGCACAAACTGAAATTGCTACTATGATAATTCCGCGTGTGCCCATCGCTTACCGTGAACAAGCCATCCAGCTGAGTTAGGTAAACAGGCACGGATGAGCACGTGTCGTGAAGTTCATAGCCAAGCGAGAAGTCCAGGAGGGCTCCGGTCGCCGTCAGGTGTTCGCTGCGACTCTGGCGTGCCTCCCTCAGCATCTCGAACGAAAGTGCCACTGCCTCGGCCATGGGAACTGCCTGCTGAATGTTCACGTGTGTGCACCGGTGGGTCGGCAGCTGCTCAGCGCCCTTGTGAAGCGGCAGGTAAATGCGAAAGAGAATGTCGGCTGGCGGTAGTCCTTTGTGTCCGC